GGCACAATAAAAACTAAATAATATTATAGATTAAAACAAAACAAAAATGTAAATTAATTAAAGGTGAATATAGTAAAAACTAAAATAAGTTTGAACACAATAAAAACTAAATAAAGCTAAAGGTGAGCATAGTATGAACTGCATTAAAGCTAAATTAAGTTAAAGGTGAACACTTAAAAAACTTAATAAAGTTAAAGGCGGGTACAGTAAAAGCTAAATTTTTTGTTGATGATCACTTTTGTCAAACTGAACCCAAAGGATTTTCTTTTATATCCAAGTTAGAGTCCACCAAGGATAAATTATTCCAATTGTTATCATTTCAATTTTAGTAATAATGATAAATAAAGCTATAAAAGATGGACGAAGTTAAAAAAAAACTATACATATATCATTGTAATAAAATATAAACATATATGGATGCAATTAAAAATAATAATAAAGTTTATGATGGAAACTATAAAATTCAAATAAAGGTAGAAACCGTAAATACTAAGTTTTTGGTTCAAGTTTACTTTTAAAGAAACGAGCTTATTTGTGTTTATTTTAAATCTGAGTTCGCCACATATGAGTTATTCCAGTTATTATGCACAAATCAACAAGACATTTTTTTTATGAGAATAACATTGTTTTCAGTAATATATATGTAAAATTAATTAATTTAAAATTAATTTGTACTATATTCTGCACTTAGAACAATTAGGATTTATTTATTAATTTTTTAAAAATATAGTTTTGTGAAATTGTAAGTTTATTGTCGATTGTCTGATAGCTAAAAGACAGTTATTACTTCAATCTAATAAGCCTTAGCTAATGAGCCTCATCTTTACTTTTAAGAGGCCTCACTATTCTAGATTTTCGGTTTAATTTGCAACTCTCGTTTCTTTGCATCTTTGTTCTTAACAAGCTTTTGAAAATGGGACTGAAAAGTACCAACAAAAAAAAAGGTGAAAAACAAAGGCATTGGTTTATTATGTGGGTAAATTGCAACTGATATCTTTAGAAACTTCTAAGGATTTTTCCAAAACAAACAAAACAGGAAAAGCAAGCAGTTAATAATTTTATTCACGTTCGTCTGCTTTTAGATTTTTTTTTAAATTTATTTTTATTATTTTTCAAACTCATGAAAACCGATTTGGACGATGTTAAAAAAATTTTTTACACCGTAAATTATATAAAAACAAAAACATTAATCAAAAACAGACAAAGGTATAATAAAAAACCACCTTTCGAAAAATGCTGATTTCAGGATTGTATTGCTTTAATTTTATCGGGGCAAAAATTCAGCATAATTTTTTTATATTGATTTTTACTTTTATTAATGTTCAAACAAATGAAAACTGAATTGGGCGATGCTCAAATATTATCTCAACGTAAATTACATAAAAAAATAAAAACTCTTTAAAAAGACAAAGGTATAGTAGCACTAAACTACGTTTCGAAAAAGGCTGATTTCAGGATTGTATTGGTATAGTTTTATCAGAAGAAATCAATAGAAAATATGAAATACCGCACACTATATTTCTCGAATTCTCATTGGGTGATGACTTTGTATATTACATGTTACGAAAGATATTAGAGAGCAGAGTAGAATAAATATCCAACATTAATTTATTTACGAAAATAATAAATGAATTTTGAAATGGTTAAAGGTATAGTTAGAATTTTCCCTTACCGTTTTTAATCTTTTGATCGATGTTTTCGATCAGGAAGAAATAGGCCTCTTAACCCTTTGGAGCAGTTGGGACACCAATGTCTCTTATATATATATATATATATATATTTTTCTGGCATGATTACCAGCAAAAATATATTTTGGTATTTTATAATTACGGCTCAGGGGATAGAACGTTCGCCATCCAAAGAGGTGAACCGGGGTTCGATCCCGGTAATGGCTGGTCGATACGAAATCCGCATCCGGCTTGCACCAACCACAGTGCTGACGTGAAAAATTCTCAGTGGTAGACGGATCATGGGTTAGAGTCCCCTTGCCGTCAGACTAACTGTCGGAGGTTCTCGTGGTCTTCCTCTCCATGTAACACAAATGCGGGTTAGTTCCATCAATAAGTCCTCCACGAAGGCAAATTTCTCCCAATACTTGATCCAGGAGTTCCCTTGCCTTCTGGATCGGGTACGAAATTACAAGGCTACGGAGTCGAACATTAGTAGTCATACCCATAAGATTGGGTCGGCTGTTCAACAACAATTATAAAAGTTATAAAAAAAATAAAAAATTATACAAGACTGTCGAATAGTTACTGAAAAATGCATTAGAGTATTAGAATTATAATTGTACTAAAATATAAACTCCAAAAAAAGTAGTCTGAAATTTTTTTTTTTTTATTCATATTTAAAAATTTATCGATAGTTGATTTTGTAAATTGAAGAAATTTCAATGATGAATAACTGTTTCTTTAAGATCTAGATCTAAATGGCTGCACCTAAGTGTAAAATTGAAAATTTATTGTCTGGTAATGAAGTGCGTTAGGAAGATTTTAAATTTAACGAGGAAGACACAAGTGTTACATGCTATATTTCATAACCATAAATTATTAAAATTCTAAACATACTATTTTTCACTTATTTTGACCCAAATTAATATAAAATAAGGAAAAGGGTATGAAAAATATGTTTAATTGAAATTCTGGGTCAAAGAGTTAGGAATACTTTAGGGTCAGAAACATAAACTTTTATTTCTCAAATTTTCAATACTTATTAAAAATTTGTATTAATGTGTAAGTTTACAATTGCAAATCTTTACTAATAACCAAATTACATATTTCGCTAAAATATTTATCATTTTTATTAATTAAAAAATTGTTTACAATACATCAATCATTCTCAACCCCAAACCCAACCTTAATTAAAATCCTACGCACGTCCTTGATAGATATATATAAGTAAATAGGACTATTTTTGTATGAAAACTATTCAAAACACATAAAACCACTGTCATAATTTTAATAATAAACATTATATGTTATAAAAAAATTAATTGTATTAAATTTAATATTCAAGAGTAAAATTAATACTCATTTAAATCAAAAAGAGTTACCCGATGAAAATAAGGAAATGTAATAATTACAACTTCACAAAAGAGTAAATTACAATTTAAAAACGAATTTCAAGAATACTCAATTAATGAAGATAATATAACGAAAATTAAGAGACTGTTTTAAAAGTAGCACACAGTTAAATGAAAAAGATGCATTTAATTACCATAACCTTTGTTAAATAAAAAACCCATAGAATCTCACCATTAACATTAGGTTCTTAACATCAAAAGTTCAACGGAAATTAAATTGTTTTTATCACATATTTACAACTCTCTAACATTAAAGATATAATCGTGTTTTCTAAATGAAACCGATTTGGGAAGAAATAAACTACATTTATTATTTATTAAACCACCCCTCTCAAAATGCAAAACATGTCTTCTCATCAAGGCAGACGGGGTGCGGGTCTTTTCTGCACCCACCCTCAGACCCCTGCATTAGGTATTCAGGTAACACTTTGGGCGTAGTGGCTGCGAACAGTGGGTGTCGTTTTGGGATTGGAAGGGGTAGTCGTGTCAAGGTCCCGAACGTTTGGATACAGTGATTAAGTTAATGTGGGCACGCGAAAGAAAGAAGCCACAGGATTAAGCAAAATGAGAAATATTAAATAAAAACCGCATTCATACTGACATTGCACGTGTGGCGAAGTGCACTTGCCTTTTTATCACTTATTGGTTATTTAAAATCATGTGATCTAGCAACTATTTCAATTTACTCAAAATTGAATCAGCAAAGGTATTGAAAGATCATGCACCGAGGACCAACTGATCCAAACATTAAAACAAAAACCGCATTCATACTGACATTGCACGTGTGGCGACGTGCACTTGCGTATATATCACTTATTGGCTTTTTAAAATCATGTAATCGAGCTAGCAACTATTTCAATTTGCTCAAAATTACATCGTCGAAGGTATTGAAAGATCATGCACCGAATGCCAACTGATCTTGGGATGCCTGCAGACTTCTCCCTCACTGAACCTAAGCTGACTATCAGAACACATAGGCCGCCTATCTAGGCTGGACAGTAGTTGAAAAATATCTCTTGTACTATAGAAATCTATATAGGTTCAATGTAGTAAGATTAAATATAGTTTTTCTCATATTAAAGAAAGAAGTCACAGGATTAAGCAAAGTGAGAAACATTTAAAAAAAAAACACATTCATACTGACATTGCACGTGTGGCGAAGTGCACTTGCGTTCATATAATTTATTGGCTATTTAAAATCATGTCATTTAGCAACTATTTCGATCTGCTAAAAATTGGATCGTCAAAAGTATTGAAAGATCGAGGACCAACTGATCTTGAGATACCTGTAGACTTCTCAATGAACCTAGACAGACTATCAGAACACATAGGCCGCCTATCGAGGCTGGGCAGTAGTAGAAAAATATCTGTTGAATCATAGAAATCTACATAGGTTCAACGTAGTAAGATTAAATATAGTTTTTATCATATTAAAGAAAGAAGTCGCAGGATTAAGCAAAATGAGAAACATTAAAAAAACAGCATTCATACTGACATTGCACGTGTGGCGACGTGCACGTGCGTTTATTGTTATCACTTATTGGCTATTTAAAATCATGTGATTTAGCAACTATTTCAATTTGCGAAAAGTTGGATCATCGAAGTTATTGAAAGATCATGCACCGAGGACCAACTGATCTTAAGATGGCTGTAGACTTCGCCCTCAATGAACCTAGACAGCCTATCAGAACACATAGGTCGCCTATCTAGGCTGGGCAGTAGTTGAAAAATATCTGTTGAATCATAGAAATCTATATAGGTTTAATGTAGTATGATTAAATAGAGTTTTTCTCATATTAACAAACTCACGGGGAATGATTCCTGTTTCAGTTGTGTCCAGTTTTTAGTTGAATCGAAACGTCTGTTTTGTCAACAGTAGAAAACGCATTAAAAATATTATTAACAAATTTGGACTTACCTGGTTTTTGCACCAAGCTCCTCGATAATCAGCTAAAATTTAACTCGTCCCTGAAAAAAAATATAACTGTTAGCTTCAGATCCAAACCAACCATTTATTTTTCTTTAATATTTAGATCAACACATTAACTACACATTTATAAGCAAACACAATTAAAATGCATATATAATCTAAAAGTAATAATGGAAAAGTAATAAATTTACACATAATGGATTAAATTGTTCGTACAAAAATCAATGTGTATGAAAATTATTAAACCAAAACCAGTCTATTAATCGAGTTAAATTAGTTTAACGATAGAAGCGGAGTGGCTTTTTA